AGCATGAAAGTTGAACACTTTTGATATGGGTGTATCTTTTTAGTTGGTAGGGTAAATTTGTAAATATCGACGAATAAAACTTGGGATAAATTTTGGAATGGCTTTTGCCTTAGTTTTATAGCTCCTGGTGTAAATTCTATCTCACACATAATCTAACCAAGACCAGTTCTTCTTATTATTATTATTATATATCTTGGTCAATTTTCTTGATTGAAAGTAGTATCTTGCAGAGTGTCAATTGGTTTATTTTATATATATAAAAAAAAAAATATGTAGAATCGCATTAATCGTACAAAATGTTATTTAAAAAATCGTAACAAAGCTAATCGACTGAAAAAAATCGAATATTTTAAAATACGTAAAAAACTGCCTAAAATATCTATGTTTTAAATTAAATATATAAGAAGTCGGTATATCTACTATCTACACGATAGATTATAGTCCAACAAATAGAGCAGATGACAAAATTCAACCGACTAATGTTTTTAAAACAAAAGAAGAACAACAAATCCATCTACATTTTAGTGTAAAGCAAGCGTTTAATCTCATTAGTTACATGAAGTTATAGAATTAATATCCCCAATATCAAAAGTTTTGGTTTATCAAACCCAATTTTTAACAAGTTATATGAATTAGATAATTATGTGAGAGGTACGTGTCTTTGCATAGCACCTGCTTTGATGCACATGTTTCGTTTCTCCAAGGTCCATTTGAACAAAATTATCTTACTTTTAGTCAAACCAACAACCTCTTCCTAGTTCCAATGATTAGCCAATTGATTTGGTGACAAATTAAAGTTTTAAATTAAATAATCTTTAGTTAGTTGTCTAATCATAATATCATATGTAACGTCGGTGCTCCACGTATGGGATAACCCTATTTTAAAATTTCTTGGGCTTATACCTCAACTTTCAACATATTATAATGACTTAAACTCATAACTTGAATAAGCATGATGTGTGTTTGTTTAGTTTCTGTTGAATTATCAAATTAAACTAATCAAGTTTTTTATGACTATAGATATTGATCAAAGGACATACAACAAGTCACACACCACTAAAATTATTTATCGGGCCCCCTTATTAAACTGACGCGACATTAGGTGCCAAATTATTTTGTGATGGAAGAGATGTATGATGTACGTCGAATTTATTGTATAAAAAAAATGAATAAAAGTGAACTTCCCTTTTTTTCTTTTAATTGAAGAGTGAAGACTAAAACTGATTACAAGTTTACAACGAACAATGCCATGTTTGGCCCATATTAAGACCAATAATGTCAAGATTCTTTGCCAATATTTATTTCAAACAAATGTGTTAAAATAGTAAGAATATTAATTGAAGTATTCAAGGGTTTTGAACGAACTCACCTGCAATTGGTATTAGTTGAATCAAGGTGAACAAAGAATAAGTTTTTATATTCTGTTAAAGAGAACTTTTACAAGATGGTTCGGGAAGTTGCCGTGATTAACGAATGACTTGGAACGGAACTATTATTATATGATCTTAACAAAAAAAACAATTATTATATGTTGTGGTTCGAGATCTATGGGATGTACGGGTTTCAGACCAGAACCTCTTAATAATTGAAAAAAAAAAAACTGTTACAAGACTTTAGTCTTGATAGAACCTACTTTGACGTCGGTTTATTCTTTACATATTTGGTTCTCCTAAACCAATCACTCGAATACTCTGATAATTGGGTGGTGCAATGTATCGAGGATGGTTTCAACCGCTCCAACCACAAAATATCGTCATTAGAAACTCTGTCAGTATTTGAACGAGACGAAAATTCTATATATTTTATATTACCAAAGTTATAGATTGCTGACAAAAGAAAGCATGAAAATGGGGTCAAAGTGTCAGGTGGGAAGAAACTGAATCTGCATCATTGTCTCATTGATATTCTGTTGTCGGCCAACTTTAACTATGCAGCCCATATGTTGATGTACTCGTCTACACCTATACACACATTCATTTATTTATTTTGTCATGTTTTGACATCTATTTGATGATTTTTAAAGTTTCCATAGCTCAAACCACACATTTAGATAAGAACTGAAGTTATAAATGTGACCATTTGACCATTGCAGCTTAGATATGTTAATTGCAATGGCCAATTGGTCACTAGAATTTGAAAGCGGGTCTCATGCTGTTTGGCACATGACACATCCATCTATTAATCGTAAGATCATTTTTTAACTCCTATGTGCAGTCAGAAAATCTTGACACACAAGCCTATTGAGAAAGAGACAAAAGAAATGAACAGTCAAGAAGACAAGAGGATAAGCTCGACCACGTGCGGCGGGCCAACACGGCGGTCCTACCAGTGTCGCCGTCGTTGCCACAGCCATCGAGCTCTTCTCTTGTCGCATTCTCACATCGGGGTCCAGCTTCATTTACTGGTGTTCACATTATTGAATTTCCAATTTAGTGGTATACTTTACATTTCCCAATTAAGCTCAACCTTCCTACGTAATATTACTTGTCAATTACTTCTTATATCCATTTTTTGTTTTGTTTCAATGATTCTTGAAAACATCGCACTATCAAAGAGCTCCACATAAAGAAATATTTATTATTCACAAAATAAAAATTTATGAAATACTGAAATGACATAAAAAAAATACGATTGTATGATTTTGTTCAAAAAGAAAAAAATGATTTTTTTTTATCAAGAAAAAGAAAAAAAAAATGATTTGTTCGATTCCATAATTTTTTTCTACGCACTTGTTATCAATTTTACTACAATGGCGTGATATGTTATATTGTTATTCATCATATTTGCTAGGGTAATGGATAAAGAAACAAAAAATGCCAAAACATCCATTCTACACATTAATAAGTTATTTTTTCAGTTGTTATTATTCCGCCATTTCATATTATTAGAATGGAGAAAAATGTATCTTTGTTTCGCATGATAAATTTGAATCAAGTTCATTGTTCCGAATAATATGAACAACTGAGTTTTATGGTGTTTTCAACTGGTCACAAATCCACCTAGCTAAAGTGCTTTTGGTCTGTATATATTTGTCTTCATGCCTCTTACATTGTTTGAGATATTTTTATATGTTCAAAAAATGATTCGACATTATTGGTCCACGAACATAATATATTGACTTACTTGTACTTCAACACTTATGGACTTCTCTCCAGGTGTATTCATATTTGTGTTCTTTCAAATCTGTATTGCACATGATTTTCTCATCTTCTTATTATATAATATCTTAAGAGTCCCATATCATTATATGTTTATGGATATCACATGGAAATGTTTTTGTTTCATGTGAAAATATATATATCTCGCCTTTCAGTCAAAAAAAATATATATATATATATATATCTCGTCAGTTTATTCTTATTATATGCATCTACTAGAGTTACATTTTTAAGATTTAAAGATTCGTTAGAGAATCCTAACAAGATGGCCTATTAGCTCAGTTGGTTAGAGCGTCGTGCTAATAACGCGAAGGTCACAGGTTCGATCCCTGTATAGGCCATTTTGATCCTCTTAGTATTGAGGCCCATGGGCCAGAAAGAGACATCGTCTCCAAGGCTTTTTCTCGTAAAACGGTTCTTGGGCCAATTTTTGATCTACAAACTGATCCAGGCAGGCCCATTCTCGTAACCGTAAGATATTTTTTTCCTTTTTCTTTTCCTGAATATCATCGAAACTGTACCTAAAATATCAAAGAAACTAGTTTAGCGAAGTACCAACTCGTTGCAAAACTATACCTAAAATATCCATTTACAACTTTTACCATTCTAACTGACTAACTCAAACCAGTACAGAACAAAAACCACTTGATTTTTTGAATATGAGTATTGATAAATGATAAAAAATGAAAACTCTAAAAATTGGAAACATTTTAACCGAGACTGAAACCCATGGGCCATGTAACAAAAGAAATCCTTTTTCGTGTGTTTGTTATACGTTGAAATTAAACAGAGCGAAGAAAACTTAATATTTTACCCCAAAAGAAAACTGAGAAGGAGCTAAAAAACAGAAACCTATAGATACACATGTGACGAGATCGTGACGTAATGTGCTTGTGGTATCAACTGTATCTGTAATAATAGTAAATAACGTAAGACGAAGAGAGGAGTCAGTAACGGCGAAAGAGACAATATTGTAAATACAGCATCTCGAACCTAAAGCCACAAGAGTTTCTATAAATAGAAAACGATCTTAATGTTTCTCTTCCCACGAAAAAGATTCGATCAACTCCTCTCGATTTCACCTGTTTTAAGTCACATATCTCCCAGCAAATAACTCTCTACGTCACCCTACTTTAGGAAATATCGCATTAACTATTATATATACACACACAGATAGTATATCGCTACATGTATAATTATATGAAGGAAAGAGTTGTGCGATTATAGCAAATCAATTGTGTAACAAGTACAGTATGGTCAATGCATACATTCTCCACTACAAACTTGCTCACAGAAACGAACTTTTCCCATGCATATTAACATAACTGTCAGAAACTTAACAAGGATATGCTAAGAGATTTTCTGTTTCTGCCATTATAGACAGAGATACTTATGTATAAACGCAATCTTTTATATCAGTCATAATAATTAACAAATTGACAATTAGAAAACTATGGTACTAATTAGTGATTGGTTGCATAAAACAAAATAAAACTAATGTATTTAATGATCATAAAGAAATAAAAATTCTTCTTGATTCCAATCCTTCATTAGCACAAACCCAAACTCTTTACATTTCCTATATAATAATCAAGACAAGAAAATGTCTTAATTATAGTACAATATAAACCAAACCCATATCACTATAAAACCCTAAACAAAGGGTCCTTCATAGATTAAAAAAACATAGAAGAAGAAACCCAAACCAAATTATAAGAGAAAAAAAAAAAAAACCAAACATACTACCACCAACCCATAATCCCATTTTGCAAGTCTAATTAACTAACCCTAATCAATTAAGACTTGATTATCTAATCGATAATTAATGGTGGGAGGAATTAACTAATTATAACATCGAGTTGCCATCTTACTAGTCCTTTGCCTTTTAATGCTCCCTGAAGATGATTTCTCCAAGTTATTATTGCTATTATTTTCATCACCATCACCATTATTATTAACACACTTCTCTATAACCGCCTTTAACACTTCTTCTATCGAACTCACACGATTATATCTCTTCTCTTCTTCATCTTCTTCCACGTCATCACCATCGAAGTTTCTACCATCTCCACCGTCTTCTCGGCTCAAGAACAAGACGTTCTTGACACGACCACCTACGGTGACGATCTCAGCTTTGAGAGTTCGAAGACGAAGAGACTTTAACGCATGGATGACGTCATGCATGAGGTCAGTCCTGTCATCGCAGCAAAAGGAAGCTCTTATCACCAAGTTTCCTTCTTCGTCGTTGTAAGATGAATCGACGGTCAGATCATCAGACTCTGTTGGGACTTGACACGTGTCCGTGATCGGTAATGTCTGTCGTTTTAACTCCTTCATGTGTTGGATCACTTCAGCTAGCAACGAAGCTTTGTCCGTCTATATAGAAAACAAAACGAATTATGCATATTTAATCTTCTCCATCATAATGATAATAGTTATGAAAAATTCTCATCCATGAACTATTCAACTATAGTTACATTAAAAGAATATCGTTTGATGCATTTAAAGTTTTAAAAAGGCAAATTACAACTACTAAACTGTAGTAACTGAATAAAGATAAAATTGGAAGTATCACTGAATAGTTTTTCCTTTAGAAGATTTTTTTTTTTAATTACAAAAATCCCACATATGTCATTTATAGCACCAAAGAAATTGATTTGTTGTACTAGTTAGAGAATAAATTATAACAAAACAGATAGTGTTAATTTATGGAAACTTACTTTGGTTGTGTTTGGTAAAATGCTACGCAACTTAGCAAGATGGGTGTTGATTCTCTCTCGTCTTCTTCTCTCAGCTTCACTGTGACTCTTTGAAGCAGCTAAAGCCTTAGCATCCATGACTTCCTGTGCACTCATTTTCCCCATGATCTCACCATCGAACCCGAAGGACGAGCCTCGACGCATAATGGGTCCAAGAGCTTCGGATAAGATTCTTAGATGGTTCTGATTATGTTGATTATCGATGGAAGGAGGAGGAGACACGAAACCATCAGCATAGTCAAAGGAAGAAGAAGCTCTTCTGTTGAAGTAGTGAACCGGATCAGGATAACGGATCGGGTTAGATGGGAAATGGGTCGGATCAAAGGAGGGTAAAGAAGACCAAGGGAGGATCTGTGGATGATGATGAAGAAGAAACTGGTCTTGATAGTCTTGTAAGTTGTGAAATGTTTGAAGACAGTCTTCTTCTTTCATTGCATACATTTTTGTTTTTTTGGTTTTTGGAAGTCGAAAGAAAGAAAGAAAAATGAGAAAGCTAATTAGAAAAGAAGAGACAAAAGGTCACAAACATCCCATTTGATAATGGATACAGATATATATAGTGCTAGAATGTGTGTCCTTGGTATGAAGAAAAGTTTTAATATTTTAATATTGAGATTTCTTTCCAAATACATAATTCATATAGAAAAAAAAAACTTTTTCAGCGCTTTGTACAATCAGACCGCCATTATCTTTGATAAATACACATGGAGAGCAAATCATTCGTTTGGGAGAAATGTCGTTGATATTTTATGACTTGTTTTTATTTTACCCTAATTCCGTAAAATGGAAAGATAGCATAATGATATTTGTGATTCTGAATTTTACTAAGAGCATCTCCAGTAGCATTAACCTATTTTGGAATTGAAAATGGGGTAAGGTTTGGGTAAATTTTGCTCCAAAATGGCATATAAAGTGATAAATGGGATAGGGTTGAAAATATGTTATAATCACAATAAAATTTGTAACTGCGATTTAGATTCAACTATTTCGTAACATTAATGAAAAAAAAATTGTTTAATAAATTTCATTTTGGGACCACGAACTTTTTTTTCCTTGTATATTTATTATTTATATTTAACAAATCGAATGAATCTGCAAGTGCTGCACATCTTCTTTGCTTTTCTTTTACGACTTCTAAATGGGGAGCTGTCATCATCTTGTGGATTTCTCTGATGGATTTGGCTTCCTACGAACAATTAATAACTTTGAGAATATTATTTAATTTTAATGTTCATAAATGTGTCGACTTTTCTACTTGTCAATACTAGAAGCATTTTGGCTCCTTTTTACGCTTGATATAATCCTGTTTAGGATAAACAGTTTTCCCTTGTTTATACGAGGATACCACGTCACGGCCATTTCTGCTATTAACAGTTTAAGTGTTGTAGATAATTTACTGGAAATTAAAATATATCAGGCGTTTTAGCTAGAGGATTCTGGTTAGATCCCTTCACAAGTGATATTACAGACAAAAGAAAAATATAGTCAAAATCAAGTTCATTTCAAATAACTTTTCTACCAGTTAGAAGTTAGAATTAATGGTCAAATAGACACAATCATGTTTATTTATAATATTTTTGAAGTTGACCATGATGAGGTGGCTTTTTCATGAAATAGTTTCTGCATTCTCTGTTTTTTTTTTCCATGCTTCATAAGAAGTTAGGAGTAATTATTGTTTTTCATCAGGTCTGAAACAACGCGTTAAAAGAATTTCATTTGGCTGCTTAATGTTTTGTTTTTTCAGTGGAAAGCATAATAATAATAAAAAATCTCAAAAATTAAACTCACAAATAAACAAAACAAACACTGACCACAGGACACACGGATTGTCGACCGACCAGAGACCAAAAAGACTTTTACTTTTAATCATTAATAATCCCACTCGTTTCTTATAGCCAAACCCACTTTCGTTTTTTTCTTTCTTCTTTAATCTAATCTAATGAAGATTTTCCCAGTCATAAGATTTGTCTTAAGTGCACCGAAGAGATTCTCTTTCATTTGATGTACTCGTACATATCCAACGATCTGAATCTGTACTGATTGTAATAGATTATTTGATATGTACACATATCGTAGAATCACTTTCTCATTCCAAGAGAGTTAAAGGAAAATACTTTAAAATACTTTATTGTCAATAAATTGGTAAAATCGGTGAAAGAATATACTAAGATGAAGAAGAAGAAAATAAATAGGATAGGGTATGAAGCTAGGGTTTTGGGGTGGTGGTGGTGCAGAGTGAAGCCCACACGACGTTCAACATTCTGGGCTCTTTCTCCACGCTGTCTTCTTCTTTTGCCTTCTCCAAGAATTTCAAATCATTTTGTCTTTGAATTTACTCCTCTTCTTGTTTTTTTCCAATAATACTTCTATTTTATCAGTACTTGATTGATTTACATACATGATTCTTTTCTGTTTTTTCTTGTTGAAACTTGAAACAAACCTCGCTATTATTCTGTTCTCGAAAACTTTTTACATAGGTCCTAATGAAAAGACATTAACAATTTTGTTTGGTTTGCTTAAATTTTTGTATAATTATTTCACTTCAATCTTGTTTATGAAAAGATAGTACTTGGTTATTGATTTTCTAGTATAAAATATTTCAGTCGCCAAATTAATATAACAAGTAAATGGCTTATATATATGATATATTTTTCTGCTTTTATTTTGTATATATTTTTACTTTCTTTTTAATATATTTAGGAATAAATAACTATGAATTCAAATTTATTAACTGGAGTAATGTATAGCAATGTATATCATGCACACAAAATTATAAATTTGTATCGGCGAAGTTAAAATAATTTGAATAACATATACTATGCATAATTAAAAAAATTATAATAAATATATCTATTAGTTTATTTATCTTATTTTGCTTTAATTCTCGAACATATTTATAATATCATATAGAATTGGATCACATATTGAAATTTGAAATAGATGACAATTTTTTCATGGTGTATCATGTTTGGTTTATTTCTTATACTAGAGAGTAGTATTTGTTAAAATACAAGACGGATTGCTCCGTTAGAGCATCTCCAACCCATGCTAAATATGACATATATGCTATTTTGCCATAATTTTTGCTCCAACCCAATTGCATATGCTATTGCAAAATAGCATCATGCTATTTTTGCTTCTATATTTGGCATGAGATTATGCAATATGCTATTTTGCCATTGAACTTTTTTATTTATAAAATAGTCCTTCAATTTGTAATTACTTTTAATTTAACAGTTTAATTATATTGATTATGATTTATTTAAATAAATAAACAATACTCATAACTTTTTCAAAATATAAATAATATTTATTTCATAGAAATATAAAAACATAACCATAATAAACTTAAAATTTTATTTTTAAAAATACTGAAATTCAAAAAACATAAAACAATAGGTTAAAATCTTTGTTTTCTATAATTTTTATGTAATATGATGTATTTTGTTTTAATATTATAATAATAAAAAATAATATAATTCTGGTTGTTTTTGCAAAAAAAAAAACAAATGATTCACTTTGTAAAATTTGAAGAAATCAAGTAGTTTTAACAATTAATAATAAGTTGGAAAAAAATTATAGCATGATATATGGCATGAGGGGTTGGAGAGAAACCCAATGCTATTGCTATATTTTTGCCATTTGCAATAACATATGGCATGAGGGGTTGGAGATGGTCTTAGTTCGTTTAATATACACAAATAAACATGTTCAGCTATTTAAATAAAAACAAAGTACTGTTCAAACTAAACTACTTAGCTATGAAGCGTACTAGATTTAACTAACTTACCTTGAAGTCTTCATTCATTTTTAAAGTATTTATGAAAAGAATGAACAATGAATCAAGAACAAGAGTATACGAAAGATACATGATGAAGCCATATTTTATACACGGAAAAAGTGATGAACATCATATCAAAAGCAGCAATAATAATACCAGTTTCTAGTGACTGTGGACATAACCTGATAATTTTCACGGTACCCTATACTGTATAACAAAAATACGTTTTTTTGCAATCTATCATATAATATTGTCGCGAGACCATGCCCTTCGGGTCGTTAAAAAAAAAAAAAAAAAAAAAGACCATGCCCTTCGATCAGCGAGTATGTGCTCAAACTGTTGGTCCATAGATGTCATAATTTTAGGGTGAAGAATTATATGATAAGGAATGATTGTTGAAAAAAAAACTATAATGATAATTACCTTTAAACTAAAGTCACTGTTCATGTTCAAAAGGCCTTTGAAAAAGCTAAAATCATTTACTTCTTGACAAGCATGGCTCATTTAAAAACCGAACCAGTTAGTACTTTGGCTTAAATTAGTGTAGCAAATAATTATTGTGTCTAATTTTAAACTATAGTTATGCGAAAATGACGAAAACTACATAAATTTCCGGGGAAAAACAATGAAGCCATATGAACTCTTATAATTTATAAAATGAGACATCATTAAAAGATAATCAGTGTTCTTTTAATCTATGAAAAAGGATATGCATGCTTACTTATGCATGTTCTACTTTCATCCTGTATATCTATGAAAAAATTAAAATATATTCGTGAAAGTATAATGGCTTTTTTTTAGTAGTTTCACACACTGCTATATTTTAGTACGATTATGCCGGCCACTATCAAATCTGCTATATTCTCGAACTGTTATATCGTAAATCTGCTATATTCTCGAACATATTTATAATATCATATCGAATTCGATATATAGTGGAACTTAACACCTTCAATTAACCGGTTGAGTTACTGTTACTGGTCATATTCTATATGACTATATCTATGTATATATATAACCAGAAGTTGTCCTTTTACACGTGAATTTGTGACTACACACAACATACGTATTAGTGCAAAGGTCTTCACGACCACATCATTACAATTTACATGTGTATGTGTAAATACATATGTGTAAGGGCCTTTAAGCGTGTGTGTTGATTCATTACAAAAGCGTCCGGTTTTTAGGTTTCATATAGCATTTTTGTTGTTCTGTCCACTGGCTCATATTTGTATCCTGAGCCATATAACAATCTCCCGAAGATGTTTTTTGGTAAGTTTTATGTATTTAAGCATAGACACCCAATTAATTGTTTTCTACAATTTTTATAAAGATATAATTGCAGTTCAAACGGATTTTTTTTAACTTTTTTTTTTAATGAAGTAAACTGATTTTTTAACACCCAAATTCTATATTCCCTTCGTTTCAAATTAGTTGTCGTTTTGGCCAAATGTATCTGCAAATATTTGGACTTATCTGGACATGTTTTGCATTGCAGATACGTCCAAATATTTGCAAATACATTTTGCCAAAACGACAACTAATTTGAAACGGAGGGAGTATATAGTAGTGACAATATCTTTGATTTCGATCATATATCTCTCCGTGTGAAAACCTAGTGTCAATAATGGCATATAACATTTATGAAATGTGAATGTAT